CTGGTGGCTTGAAAAACACACTAGGCATGTGTGTGAGCATGCTTCAAATACTGACAAGGTAGAGAAATGGAAGAGAAGGGATTGCAACATGACTATGTACCATTGAGGGATGTTTTCTCCCTCTCTCTTTGTGTTTGTTTCTTTCTGGTGAGCACACATGCCATCTGGCCATGAAAAAATAGTAATAATAATATCAGTACTTCATAAATTCATTGTGAGACGAATAAAGACCGAATTTACACATATATACACTCATGAACATACATACACACCTTTCGGTACAAAGAAAAAGCTCTAAAAATGTATTGGGTCATTGGAAAAGTCATGACATATTTTTCAATGTTTTTCTATGCAGAAAAAAATGCATCATGACTTTTCTGACAATCCAATAGATACAAGCTATTATAAATTTTATTCACTTACTGCACAGGAATATTTGTCATTCCTATGATACTTAATACCATATCAAGGGTGTACTCAGAGATGCCTTTTTACAGATTTGTGGACTCTCAATAATGCTTTCACTTACAAAGGAGGGAGCATTACCACAGGTGGAATCACATATCAGCAGCACATGAGTGAGGGACCAAATACACTACCTATGTTGGGTTGCTAAACCAACATAGGCTTACAATCTTTACTCTCTCAACCTAGTCTTAAATTTACTAGAGCTTCAATTTAACTTCAAAATATTTCTGGCTGAGGGGCTCTTTTTCTTAAAATTTCCCTTCTTTTCACTACTTCATATCCTTTTAATTTAATTCAGCTACTTTTTGCTAAATAGGATTTTAGCTAGGTGCTTGATTGGCTGGGGATTTACAAATAGCAGCAGGAAGACTGACTGCTTGGGAACCTTCCTGTTTATGCCACCCTCCTGGATAATTATTCTTTAAAGTTATTTCCTCTTTTATTCTAAATAAATAGTGTGGCTGAAGTGATTTAAAATAATATAATTTATAATTAAAATATTAAAATACTCTAGAAAATTATACATATACATATATATAATTTAAGAACATAGTAAATTATACATATATATGAGAACAATAAATTATATGTAACATCTTACCTAATTTACTTATATGTAAATTGCATATTTGTATAAATAACATGCTACTTAAACTTACTTTCTTTCTTTCTTTTTTAGGTTTTTGCTATAGGGTGTGTGTGCTCACTGGAGAAACAGACAGAGAGAAGGAAAGTGAGAAATTGCTCCCCAGTGGGAATGGCCACATCGCAATCCTTTCTCTCCCACTCTCCTTCTGTGATTTTGGCGATACACTCACACATGCCTGGTGTAAATTTCAAGCTGCCAGGTCAAGGACTCCAATCTTGGTCAGTCATGTGGGAGTCTGGTGCCTTCACCACCACATCACTTGGTGGCCCTGTTACACTTTATTTTTAAGTGCTTTGCATTTTCCTGATTATCTGTCATCTCTAACAGCAGAGGAAAGAGAACCTATCACCTAGGATATCAAAGAATGGGTCTCAAAGAGACTCACTACAAGAGAAACCCTTAATTAAAGCATTGTTTTTAAATTAAATGTAATTGAACATTTACACTGAATGTAATACATCCCAGGCCAGTGGAGGGCATGGTGGTAAAGGCAACTGGACCCCACATGATTGCGTAGTTCAGTACTGAACCAAATGGTTTGAAAAAGACTCCAAGGGTGTGTCTGTGTGCATGTCCAAAATCCCAAGAAAAGAATGGAAGAGAAGGAACTGCAGTACGGCCATCCTCTTTGGGGGAGTGCTATCTTTCACTCTCTTTCTTTCTGGTGAGCACATGTATCCTATAGCAAAATTAAAAATAAAACATAGCAAAAAAAAAAAAAAAGTCGTAACTCACAGACTATCCAGTTTTAATATATACATGATGCTGTTTGATCCTTCAAGTCTTTGATCAATTGACACTATGAGAATGTCAATCATAATTAGTCCTTCCTTTGGAGGGCCCCCTGAAATGTCTCACCAGTCTGATATTAATGGCTTTATTTCATAACATTAAAAAATTATAGTAGGGTTTTATAAAAGTGAATACATACTAAATACTTTTTCTTAGGTGATAGGTCTCGATAAGACAGTTTTGGGAAAATTAAGAAAGAGAAAACGATCTTACAGGTTTTAACTGTCAAAGCCATGATATTATTGCAAGAAAGAGCTGGGAATTGGAGTTGTGATAATACCATACTTGTTTAAAGTGAGACAACCAAAAGGGATTTTCTTATGGGAAACTAAAATTAAGGAACGCTTTTCAAGTGAGGAGAAATGCAGATTGGAAGGACACAAGCAGAAGCTGAAGCAATGAAAAATAAGATTTCTCAGCTTAAGAAATTCTGAATTTTGATGAGTCTTTACTAGAGAGACAAAATATAATCACTGATGAAAGAAAAAATAATTACTAATAGAAGGTATCAAAAGAATAAAAGTTAGAGGAGAGATTACTGAGAGTTATCATTTGTCACCTGTCTTAGAGAAATGAAGAGGTGTTGAGATATTTAAGCAGGTGATGAGATATTTAAGGTGTTGGACTCCCACATGGCTGACCATGGTTTTAGTCCCAAACCTGTCCATTTGAAAATCATGCTTGGCATGTGTGTGTGCATGTACAAAATCCCAAGAGGAAATTGTGGTGTGGCCCCTCCCCTGGAGGGTAATTTCTCACTTTTCTGCTCATTGCCTCTCTGTGTCTCTCTCTGGAAAGCACATACACCTTATGGCTAAAACCTCAAAAAGAAAAGGAAAAAAAATAAAATAAAAATAAGACCTAGGGATGAGACCAAGGAGAGGTTATAAAATAAAAGGAAAAATTATGATGTAGAAAGGAAAATGTAAGGTTTTACACCTGTAACATCCACAGGACATACAATTCAACTCACCATACTAAACAGATTCCTAAGAATCCAAATTTTATTCATTGAGTGACTTTGGGATAGAGCTATTTTGCTATTTTGGCTTCATAATCCAATATCCTTTCTATACTCATACACAACAACCTAATCTCTTAAGGTAGAGTATTTCACAGATGTTCTTAACAATGTCTCTACTGGGAAGGTAGACATGATTTGAAAGTCAATACATGACCATAACTGGGGTAAAATTTAGATCAATAAAACAAAGGTGCTCAATATTTCAATTATCATTTGAATCTATTACAAACAGAGGTGTACTGTAAGTACAGTTCTTGTGCAAAACTACTGTTATGCTTTGTTCTAAGAACACTTTAGAACTCTTTAGGATATGAAGAGAGAGAGATTGGAAAGCTGAGGGAAGAAGTTAAGACAGTTCCAAATGTCTAGCTGCTTGCATAGAAAACCTGGTTTCCTTAAGAGATATCAAAGACCATTTTCGTTTCATTTAAATGATGAAATATTTTGAAAGTTCACCCCACACACTGCAAAGCACAATTACATTGAGACCAGTAACAATAAGCACCATCATAAGAATACAAGGCCCAGCTTTGGCATGTGCTGGTGAGATGCTGTTGTTTTCGAGCTGGGGCCACACGGGAAGCATGGGTTCCATTCCCTGCCCAACCTACAGAGCCAGGCACGGTGGCACAGGCCATAGTACCAGCTACTGGGAGGTGAAGCAAGGGAATGGCAACATAGGGAAATCCTGTCCAAAACAAAAACGAAACAACAAAATAAGCCAACAACATCAATGAAAAATATCTCATATTGTTACTCCAAAGAAACCCTACTCTTTAGGGAGACAAATGATTCTCCTTCAAAATAAAAAGAACAGCTTATTTTACTGGGATGACAAAAAGGCATATCCATCATTGGGATGCTAGTTAATCTAGTTTCATCCTCATCTCATGATTTTAAGACTATCCTCTGTTTAGATAAATATTAGGTCACTGGAAAAGTCATGATGCATTTCTACATAGAAGAACATGAAAAAACACATCATGACTCTCCCAACAACCCAATAGCTGTATGGCCCACTTCACTTTCTGAATGGCTTAAAACTTCCTACTTCGCATTTATTTGTTAAATATATCCAGTAGAATGAATAATTTCAAACAAGTACTTTCCAGTATGCTGAGTTACAAAAAAGATTTCATGAAAGATGCAAGACTTTGTGGTATAAACAAATTTTGCAACAGCAAGATTCTTCACAAAGGAGCAGAAAAAAGAACTGATGGTTACAAAATGAAAAATAGGAGTTGACAATTTAAATTGGTATATTATTTTACTTACCTTTTTTTTTATATAGCATTGGGGATAGTAACAAGTTATCTAGTGTATTTGACCAAATACTATATAATTTTAAGCAGAGTTTCATTATGTTTTACAATACAAAAATAACCACTATGCCTTCTACATTGCTTTCCCCCCCCCTACATACCTTTAGGACATAAAGCTTTTATGTTTTATAAACAATAGAAAATACTTGAAACACAAATTTGTATTAAAACATTCTTTGCATGAATCCACTGACCCATTTTTCAAAAATCAAAATTAAATTATTGCTAGGTTTTTATTTACATTGAAACTGTAATGAGTGCAGTTCACAGACTATATTCATACAGTACCTTGAAGACTATATTTCAAGTTGCACAACTGATCTTTTATTACAATTTAAAAAAATACAGTCTACATTAAAAGTAATTGAATTATGGAACATTTTGAAAAGGAGAATCCTGTTGCTGTTCTTGCATATAATCAATTTGGATGTCTAATACTTCTTTGCATTTCCTTGAATATTTGTAATCATGGCCTTCATTTTTTTTTTAAATGAACTTAACCAAAAAAATACCTCACCATTTTATAGATTAACAAATGATACCTTGTTAAGAGAGCTGCACAGGAAAAAAAGAAACATTTGACAGATATTCAGAAACAGAAAATAAGCTTTTTTTTTTTTTTGTGGAGAGCAGCCAAACTCATGCTATAATCCCATCCCAAGCCATGGTACGAAGATCAGTCTGTATCTTTCCATCAAGACTGTGAGATGTATCAGCTGAATTCAGCTGAATTCAGTTCACTCACCTGTTTGGCTCAGTTGAGATGTGCTTCTACTCCTTCGAGACACGATGGCCACCACCTTGGCACTCAGGCTGGATCTCCGTTTCTTTCCACCTGCTCCGACTGTGCCCACAGCCGTGTCCGACTGGCTGCCGTCATTATGCTCCAGTGTGTACATCTCCCCACTCACACTGGTGCTCTTCGTGATGGCTCTTCCTGAGGTCCCCATCCGTCTGCCTTGCATTTTGGGGGTAAATGAACTATATTTACAAAGTAAAAACATATATGCATCCATAAATTACAGGTCAGCATAACTGAAACTCTTAATCTAATTTATTTTTGAATTAATCCAGGCACATGTTCAGGGGGAAAAGCCAGCTGAGAATCTACGAATACTTTAACATCTTATCACCACCCCAAAATATTTACTAATGTAGCTTAAAATAAGGCCATATGAATACAGCAATCTATTGGCTTTTTCGAGATAGTAAAATAAAATGTAATCTGTGTTTTCCTTGGTGAACTGAGTGTTACTAACTGTGTAAATTGCTACTCTCTTATTTTCAGAGAAAAACTAAAATGCTTAATAAGTTCATATACATTCTCAAGAGAACAGCACTGTAAAAAAATGATACTCTATTTACTACATAAGGTTTAAGAAATGAAAGTAAATTTGTTCTAATTTCTTTTTAGGATTCCAACAACAGACATATCTTTTGTGCTTAATGAGTCCAAAAGACTGCTGAGGAGAAAATCTCTTTTGAATGAAGGTTTCCATCCTCCTTCCTTGTCCCCTCATGCTCTCTTCCACACTAACTTTTTCATTTAATTTTTCTCCTTCAGAGCTTCAGATTTGCATGTTGTAGGCTGAGATTTAACTTTTCTGTTCTTTTCTATTAAAACTTATTTGTGTGTGTTTCCAGATTACACTAGTTTATCTGAATAGTTTCATTCTCTCCCTAATAAATACATTAAGAATTTTAGGCGCCATGGGAAGGTTGGCAGGGTGATTGACTTTGGCCCACCAATGTGTGTGTGAGCTGGGGAGGGCCAAAGTCAATGTGTCTGTGAGCTGAGGAGGGAGGGGCAGGTAGTGGGGATGGGGGAGAAGCACTGCTGTTAACATTTTTAGATTTGTTTAAATGACATTGCAATGCAGCTATATCACTCATCTAGACTGGCCCTTATTGGTTCAGTAAAGAGCTGGTTTTCTGTATCTGAAATGACAATTTTAGGTTTCCTCAAAATGTTTGCAAAAAGTGACTTACTATATGGTTCTTACTACTATCTTAATCTTCTTTGTTTTCTATTTCTTGTTTTGATCTGCAAAATACACATCTTTTAACAATGATGGTACTTAATGCATAAGTTAGAATAAATCTTAGAATGTTACAAATGATAAAACATAAAATCCTGAGATTCTACAACATATTTGTGATCACATGTAGTCACTGTTCTAGTTGAAAGAGAAATTGGAATGAGTCAAATTCAGAAAAGCAGGAGTACAAGATCAGAGGGCTTATAAACTATAGAGGAAAGGCAAGGTTTTAGGATTTTTTATGGATTTGAATGGAAACCGAGATCTCTGTTTGATTGGATTAATTTAGAGTTTTTTTTTTTAATCCACAGCTGCAGTACTTGAATTGATCTGCATCAACATTCTGATAAAAAAGGTATTCTTATTCTTTCAATTTATTCCAATCTGATCTTCATTAGCTCAAAATTTTAAAGGTTATTTGCAAATATGATAATCAAGCTATACATTTTCAGTCTCTTCTTTTAAAACATTAATGAATATCACTTAAGACCAGCCCCAAACTGATTTCTATGGGATTTACATTCTCATCTCCCATAGACTTTATTTCCTGATAAATATTACAGTCAACTACATCTGTGTCCTCACCAACTTATTGGAGTGTATTATCTAAATCTGCTACTCCTCAAGTCTAGTCTATTTGCTCTTTCTCTTTCTTTACATAAATTCTGCTGGAAGTAGCTAAGAAATGTCAGGATTTGTCCAACTTTACAGTTATAACAATGTCCATCCTCATTCAACATCTGCAACTGAAAAAAAATCAGTAGTTTTTCATATATTATCAAGCTTTTTTAGTACATTCTCCACAATAGTTAATGAAAATAAAACTTTTATGATGATGATATTTTTATCTTCATAGTAGCATGTATCATTTTCTATAAAAATGGAATTATATTACAGTTCTCAATTTGCATTTTAAAAATCATTCCACAAAAAATAACTACTGTGAAATGCTAGAGAATGCTCTTTAGGTTACAGAGAAAGTATGAATGTATAGGGAAATGTCTTTTGTCATAATCCATCATCAAACTGTATATATGATAAGCTGGAAAGATTAAAAAGTGTTCACAGATAGGTAATTATAGCAGTAAAATGTTCTATGATGTTGACACATAATAGCTTTTGTATTTATTTTTAAAAAGAGTTTTCTACCTTACAGCACATGTGCTCACCAAAGAGAGAGACAGACAGACAGACACAGTAAGAGGGAAAGCGAGAAATTGCCCCCCAAGAAGGATGGCCACATTGCAATCCTTTCTTCTCCATTCTCCTCCTGGGATCTTGGACATGCATCCACACATGCCCAGCATGATTTTCGACCCTCAAGGTCCAGGACTTGAACCTTGGTAGACCATATGGGAGTTCAGCAACATATCCTCTATGCCATCTGCTGGTCTCCATTTTTTTAAAAAAAAATAGCTTAATCTGTATAGTAAGTATTACCATTTTGGGGTATCAAGTTAAATTATATTAAAAAAAATTCCGTGAATAAATTATGAGATGATTTTTCCTTAGAAATGAAACATTTATTTAGATGCTAAAAACATTCTTACTTGCTATGAGGATGTGTATAGCTTCCTAAAGGACCAGTGATACCATAATGTTGAATGGGAATGCATTGAAGTATTTTCAATTCTTTTGACTACCTAATTCAGGGAGGACGTTTGGGAATCTAATCCATCAGATTAATCTAACCAATTCATGGCTCTTTTTTTTTAGTACAAACATGCTTTCTACTCTGTTTCTTAGCTTTTTACTTGCTCTACTTCCATTGCTTGAAAAATAAATCCTCTCATGTACTTGTACCTGAATCCTTTAATATGTAACGTAAGGCTTTGTGCTTTATAAAAACGCTTTTCAAAGTCACTCTAGCATCATGACCTGTCTCTCAATTCTTCCTTTTCAACTTAGTACTGGTTATATTAAGATTCTGACATTTTACACTAGCATGCATTTTATGCATCACTAACTTTGCTACAGCAACCTTCTCATTGCCGAAAGAAAAGGTTTTTGTTTGTTTGTTTGTTTTGAGTAAGAATTAGAAAAAGTGATCTATCAGTACACAAAGAGAGTGCAAGATAATCCAACTTTATAAAGGAAAGAAATAAAGACCTTTCTTTTTTGATCCTCCTCTTTTTATAGCTACTGAATTTCTACAGAAAAATCTCTTCAAGGGGTTGTCTATATATCTCCTTATAGTCTTCTGAACTCAGTCAGGCTTTGTCTGCACCACTTCACTACAACTGCCTTATATCCAAGCCACCAGTCAACATAGTAAAATCCTGTTTATTTTCATGCCTTCTGATCTCTTAATAACTCATGACAAAGCATTTGATTTTGCCTTGAAATATTTTATTTCCATGGATTTCACAAACTGGTGCTTCACTTGTAGGACATTAATCCTCTTTCATCACTAAATATTGGAGTTCTTTAAGCCCAGCCCTCTGACCCATATTCTTTCACACAAAAGTAACTGCTTAGAGGTCTCACTGTGAGGTAGGAGACAGAGACCCTAAGAATAGTTAGGATATAGCCCCAAAATGGAATCACACAATGGCTAAGTTTTACAAAGGAAACACAACAGCTCAGCTGTCACTGAAGTGCTTGTTCACTAAAAAACAAAAACAAAAACAAAACAGCTTGCAGTAGTGACTCAATGATTAACCTAGGCAGTATGACCTAAAACAAAGGCTTTTCTCCAGGCCCTACCACACTCCAAGAAGAAGATAATGGTTTTTAGAGCCCACAGCTGCTAGACAAAGAAAATCTCCTGACCTTCATATCTGCTCCAAAATTAGGAGAATGCCTGACCAAACCCATGCAGCAGGTGATTCTCACTGTAAAGGGTGGTGTGGGGGCAGGAAATATATGCACAAGTCCCACCTAGAATGAGTCTGGACAAATCCCTTCCTGACCAAACTAAAAATCCTCCATCCCAGATCTTCTTTGGAAACCCATTTTCTGGGACCTGCTCCCTGCTTGGGGGCTCCGTTCTGTTCTCTTCTTCATAAACTCTTTGCTTTACTATCCCTTCCCTATATTTGTGTTTCTAATTCTTCAAGAGCATGAGACAAGAACCTGGCAAGCTTGTGGCTCAGGATTCTGCAGTGATGTTGGGCCTTATCCCCCCACCTTCCCGTGTCAACTTGTCACAAGCTCTACATACTATTTATTTGTCATGGATTACATTGATTTTTCTCCACATGGTACTTAGTACTGAACTCTAGAATTATATATCTAGCTGTCTACTGATATCCCTGATACCTTAAGTTCAACAGAGGTCTGATTGACTTATCTATATATAATAGATAGATAATTACTAAAATTTGGGATCAGCAGTTGGCACAATGGCTATGTCGCTGGACTCCCATGGAGTTGAATGTGGTTCAAGTCCCAGGCCCAATGGCTTAAACTCATGCTGGGTGCATGTGTGTGCATGGCCAAGATTCTGAGAGGAGCATGGAGAAGGAATTGTGGCATGGCCATCGCCCCTGGAGGGTGATTTCTTGCTTTCTGTCCCTCTCTGTCTTTCTCGTGAATGCACGTGCCCTATAGCAAAAGCCTCTCAAAAAAAACCAAAACAAAACAAAACAAAAAGTGCTATAATTCTAACATAAGATGTAAAGAATCACCAAGAAGAATATAAATTTCTAATACACTGAATATTTTGGGCATGTAAGAAAAACCCATTATCAAAGAATTGCTAACTGGGAAGAATTTTAGTACTGGAAATCTAAATTTACAACCAAAGTAGTCTGCTGTTTTTGGCTTAGTAGCAGCTGTATAAAAACCACAATGAGATTCTACTTCACATGCACTTGTATGGCTTAGTAAGAAAGATTCAATAACAAGAGAGACAAGAATATGGAGAAACTGGAACCTTCGACACTGCTGTTGATAATGCACAAGGATGTGGCCACATTGTAAAACAGTTTAGTAGTTAAA